CCAAATAGCTGTAGAGTAATCGCAAATAAGACTTCAATTCAAGCTTAATTCTTAATACAAATGTTAACCACTCTTTGATACATTAAAATATTTCTCACTTATTCACGTATTTCCAATATTGATTATTAATCTTAATAAAAAGTCCAGCCTGTATGAGTAATAAAACTTCAGATTGAATGCGAATTTGTTTTGGAACAAATATTTAACCAAAACGAAATCATAATTGGATGTAAATATTAACATGCATATGTTTTGTTTATACTTGGAACGATATTGTAACTGCCTGTCATTACTGTTGTAACACAACTTTGTGTAAATATTTACTTATGTGAGTCAAGATAGAAGCTTATTAACAATCGTATTTATTTTTATTGCTTATGAAATATAATATATTTGTATATACTGATTACAAATGTATAATTATACAATTAATAAAAAAGTCGTGGTGGCTCAGCGATTAAATCGTCCGTCCGTCCGTCCTTCTCATGCATGTGCGAGTTGTGAGTTCCTTGTAAGTTCCAATGTAACATTTTTCTGAATTCCATATTTACTTTCGATGATTATTTAGAAACCACTGACGTAATAGTCAAGGAAACATCATAAGGAAACTAGAAAGATTACTTTCTAATTATAGTTTTGAAATAGATGAGCAAGCGTGGTGATTCATGTTCAAATCTTTTCCGTATGAGAAGAGGCCTTTGATCAGCAGTGCGTAGTTAAAATGTGTGATGTGCTACTGATTTAAATGAATTCTCGTTAGAAAGCTCATCAAAAATATCAACAAATCATAAGTTAAATATTTTCAAATCGTCTAGTACACATTGGTTGAAAAACTTTTTTTTTTATACAATCCTTTTTAACCATTTGGAAGCACACCTAAACGTCACTATGATATGCAACAACTGAACAAAGACAGAGTACGCGTCTAAATTCTGAACACTTTAATCAATCATCCCCCGAATTACATTTCACTTGCCACTGCTGAGGTCAGAACCATGACAGATAACCACCCTGTACGTAGTTTAATTCCCATAACATTTCATACTAGGCTATATAGATTTAGACTGCAAAATAAAATGTAGTCCCTTTAAGGTTCGCGTTCAGACATTCTATGAGGATTAACACGTAACAGTGAAAGAATCCAACGAGAAAATCTCACCAAATAGTGTGCTCCGTATAAATAACGCATTCAGAATATTGACTACGTCATTCTATTGGATTACATTTCTAAAAGGATACTGTAAACGGAAAGCTCTTAGGAGAATCGTAAAATCGTAGACGCCTACGAGCTTCGCTGTAGATCTTAGCTACGGGCTACGCCGTAGACAGAGTCTACGTGACAGGACTGTTGCTACGGTCCAAATACGTAGGCGTAAAGAAGATAAACCTTGTTATGCTATTACAATATTTGGGTTGACTGATATTTGTTTGGATCGGGTTACAAAATATTGTCTTGGATTTTTACAACAATGGCAAATTTTAAGGTATTTTTTTTAGTTTTATGCTATGCAATTTTTCTTAAAAGTAGCAGAATGCTGTTTAATCAGCAATTCAACTTTCATAATTATATTTTTAACACAAGTGTTTTTGATTTTAATTTTATATAATTTGTTAATTATACAATTCAACTCTTAATAAATTCACTTTAAGAGTTTCAGTAAAATACTTTTAAATTATCCTAAACAAAGTCTCTGAGCGATTATTAATTATTCTCTAATAGTCTTTTAATTACCTTTTAATATTGTTTGAAAAAAATAGCTGTTTTCTGTTTTTGAAATTCATAATAATTACTGTGCTTTATAATTTTGGTAGCTAAAAGTATCACGGCAAAATAAAGAAATCTGAAAATCATTTAAATTTTTAATGATTTTATAATCACATAATTTTTTTGTGTGTTTTGTACTAATCGTTTTGCCGTACTCGGAGACATTTACTTTTTATTCTAACTACATACTTTAAAATTATTTTGTTCCAAAAACAAATGCTGGAAACTGATAGTGTGTCACGTATATTTCAATTGATCTAAATATTTGTTTACTGATTGAAACCATTAAAAATATTTACTTAACAAACTAAACTTGTCAGCAAAACCGACAAATCTAAACAGAATTTAGCAGTAACAACACGATTCCCCATAATTGTATTGATGTTTGACGAAACCGATTCGAGTTTCCGATCGCAATATTCGTTGGAATATTGAAATTATGTTTACTTTCCATGAAACATGTAAGCACTCATGTTTCGCGCACATTCATCCAAAATTGCGCCCAAAAACGCGTCTGAAGCCGTGCCTTTTCCACATATTGTCACCTAACCAAGTATTTTGTATCTGCTGAAAGCAACAAGTAGGTAATACGATTTACATAATGAACGCTGTACTGAAATTATGGTTAGCTCATGGTTAGCTCATATTTTCCTAAATTACAGGTTTAATTATTTCAAAACTTGACCAAATTTGTTGTGGTTGTGGTTGGTTCATGAATTAATTATATTTGTTTGTTTATTTTTATTTATTTATTTGAAAAACCCTGTGGCTTGTGCCGTTGTGTATTTCCAGATTGAAACAAAAAGGACATGATTTTATGAATATTTAAATAGTATGGCTGAGAGTTTATCAATCTATAAAAATAAATATACTTTAATTTCTTCTAGTTGAGTGCATAAGAAAAATTTTAGAAATACGATCTATAATAAATATATTTTCATTTTACTTCATTGTATACAAAATTGAAAGTATTTTCTTGCAAAAAGTTAGCCAGTGCAAAATAATACACCAAGAAGATACCAATTTAAAGATACAAATTTAAAAGGGCTTAATTACGAATCATGGTTTGTTAACGAGCTTGCTTCATTAATTAGCGCATTCCTTAGAAAAATATCGTGGAGTTAAATGCAGTATTGCTTTATAAATATTATGAACGTTTGGAATAATATTACTCTAGTCTGTGAGAACTGAGATTCATACTGTGCAGTTCGCTCTTGGAATATGCAGATGTATTGAATATACATCTGCATATTCCAATGTACAAAACATTATTATATACCAACATTTTGTAGATTTTTATGTAAATATATCTATTATTTTATGAGGCAGATTTTAGTACCAATTTTAAAATAAAGTTGTAAATTAATTACCACACGTTACATCAATTTTCTAACACAATATTTAAAGAAAAAATATTATGTTAAATAAAATACAGTGATATCAAAATTTTGGTAAGAGCCTGTTACACAATGTCTGAAAATCCGCTATGTACCAGAAAAATTTGAATGTCGAATGTTATTTGTATGCATTATAAGCCACATACGTTAATGGGGAACTTATAAGAAGGTAGTGAAATAAGCGTTTATATACATATATAATAAATAATGTTTGGACATAAGGCAAGCAAAAATGTTGTGTCTGGACATTTTCAAAGGGCAAATTTGTTTTCATCGTTAAAAATCCTATTCTACTATTCTTATAAATCTAAAATTTTTTGAGAATGTATGTAGGTTTATTATTTTTCCCGCAAAAACGGGTGGACCGATTTAATGGAAATTTTGTATGTTTTATTATATCTCGATACATTGATAATCTCGATTAACACATACGCTTCTTTTTAACCACCAAGCTAAGCCATGCGGAAGCTAGTTTGATATAAATAGTTTAAGTACAATGGATGCCAAAAAGCAAACACTCCCCCGTTTCGTAGTTAATTGGATTATCCAATCGCTCATTCACGAGTAAAATTGAAAGCTTCCCGAAATCACTGCATCGCATAATTAATTTATTATTATTATTACGACAACAGAATACGAAAACAAAATGAAAATTGTTGTTTAATTACAATTTATTTGATTTTAAACAAACAAGCATTAAGTCAGTTATTTAATAATGAATTTGCAATTAATATTGTATACTGAAAAGTAGAGACACAGCAATATAAATTTATTTCCTGTAACACATTGAATCTTCTGTTAAAAATTCGCTGATTTTATACAAAGAGGCGACACGTTACGAAAATAAATTCGTGCGAATTTTATTTCGTTGTGCGTATACGAACATGTTCTGTAGTCAAGTAGAAACGTAATTCTCCGTAATTCGCTCCATCAAAATTACTAATTATTTTTTTAATTCTTTAAACTAGTAAATTTTTTAATTCAATAAGGGTTTGATGTTCAGTTATGTACTAACATATTTATTGCCATAGGCTACTCAAATAGTAAAAATGTTCAGGTCAATGTATAATCTACATAATTTAAATAAAAAGTTCGATAAAACAAATGATAATGTGACTGATAAAAATGAATATTGATAAGTAGTTAATAAGTAATTTTCAACGGCATAATTAGGGAACTGTTTGACGCAGACCTCGACTAGTTTTGAGCCTTGCTAAGGTCTAATAATAATGAGAAGCATTGCGCGACTTACGACACGACAAATTTTGTGCAACAAATAATATTTACAATCTTGTTAACATATACATTAAATATTTATAAATAAATAAATAAATAAATAAATAAATAAATAAATAAATACATTGGAAAATAATCTTCAATAAGGTTTAAGTGAAAGTCAAAATTTCAATAGTGTATTATTTTAATCAGACTATTAATGTTTTCTAGTCTAACTCCATTCCTTTCCATCCCCGTCCGTATGTTCCGTCCAGGGCGAGAGAAATAAAAAGATAAATGACCCCACGCATAACAACCTGAGAATAAAACAAATGGTTTCTCGATTATTCCTCTATTCGAGGTATTTCTCGTTTTATCTAACAATGTCTTTACTGATTTAGCTAATTTTGGTATTGCTTTATTCGGAAAAGTCCAGAACATGTTTGTGCGTAGATAATGTTTTAAAAAATCTTGAAATAGTGTCATCTATGCGGTCACAACAACACAACTACAACTAGTAAGGTATATTGCAATAGAGAAGAACGATCAAGAAACTCTAGGGTATCTTTGATGGTTTTAGATCAAAATCAACGAAGAATCATAATGATTTTCTTTTGTTACAGCGAACACCGCAGACCTTGGGGTACTGGATCCATCACTTTACAAGTCCGACTGCCTGGACGAAGACCTCATGTGGCCCGAAGGTCATGTGGTGAGTATCTACAAAAATCTATGTAATGCTTAATAATTTATTTATTATGCTAAGGTAGGCTCATAGCTTATGTACACAAATTAGTTAGAAGTATTCGTTATAGGTCTTATACATTAACCAGTTACGAGCTAACCAACATTCTTATAATTTTGCGTTTTTACAGAGAGAATATGTAGAAATTATAACAAGAACTAATCAAATGAACATAGGACAATAGTATTTATCATACTAAAATATTTATTTATTTATTTAAACTTTAATGTACACAAAACAAGTGATGGTACATAAGGCGGACATTAATGCCATATGGCATTCTCTCCCAGTCAACCTTAGGGTTAAATAGGAAATCGGCGAAAAAATAGGCATGTGTAATTATTATAAGGAATAAATAACATACATAGACTTAACAAACATAGATACTCAAAATATTTACTACTAAATACTACCTAAATATATGTTAATATAAAAAATATATACTACATAAATAATTTCTGCAACAATACATATACAATAAACATACTAATATATAATAGATAAAGTCCGAGACTCAGCGTTGTAGTGACTTTAAGTAGAATTCATAAACATAGCGTTTGAAAGTGATTTTATTTGGAGCCTTTTTTATATTAAGCGGTAGTGCATTCCACAACTTAATAACATAGACTGTGAAGGAGTTAGAAATGAAGGTGGGATGGGGAATGGATGGGGGTGGGCGGTGGGATGGAATCTCAAGAACCAGATTTTCGGCTGAACGGAGATTACGGCTGTGAGAACTCCCCAGAAACTGGAAACAAGACTTTAGGTATTCAGGAGCACAAGGATCGTTCAGAATAGAGAAGAGCATGCAAAGAGATCTGAGAGATCTCCTCTCACGGATAGGAAGCCATTTAAGTTGAGCGCGAAAGGAAGAAATGTGATCGTATTTACGAAGACCGAAGATAAACCGAATACAGTTGTTGAGCATTCGATCTAACTTATTCAGAAGGTCTTGGGATAGGTCAGAGTAACAAACATCAGCATAATCAATCACAGGAAGCACAAGGGACCGGACCAGTAGCACTTTTGTATTTGAGGGCAGAAAGTTTTTGGATCGATAGAGAGATTGCAACGTAGCAGTGACTTTCTTACTAACCTGCGCAACGTGATGGTTCCAGCTGAGGCTACTATCCAGGTATAGGCCCAAATTCTTTACGTAAGGAGACAACGGTATGACAACTTTATTGAATATTATTGGCTCAAGGTGTTTAATATTCAAACGGTTTAAATAAGAGGAACTACCCAACACAATGGCCTGACACTTACCAGCATTCACAGTGACTGCATACTTCTTGGACCAATCTTCAATAGTAACCAAGTTGGCGTTAAGGTGCTCAATACAGATCCGCAAGTCAGCTGCACCAGCCTGAGCATACAGTTGTAAGTCATCGGCATACAGATGATAAGAGCATGTGAGACGACTAGTGATAGAATTAATAAATAAAGAAAACAACAGAGGAGATAATATACCGCCTTGCGGTACCCCAGCCGTCAGCCCGCACCAGTCAGAGTGTTCCTGACCAACGCGAACCGCCTGCTGGCGACCACGAAGATAAGCTGAGAACCACTCCCGAGACGATAACGAAAATCCAGACTGAGTTAGCATGGCTAGGAGGACATCGTGGTCGACCGTATTGAAAGCGTTGGAGAAATCGATTAAAACCAACACAGTTAACCTCGAGTCCCCCATACCATACCTCGCATCCTCAGTGACTTTCAGCAAGGCGGTAGAGGTGCTATGGCCGGGCCGAAAACCAGATTGGAAAAAAGACAGAAGTTTGTGTTTTGAGATGTAGGAGGAGATTTGTTTGTGAACAACTGCTTCGAGGATCTTTGATTGGTAGGGGAGGATCGAAATGGGTCTGAAATCTTTAGCCTGATAGGGATTAGGGATTTTAGGAAGTGGAATAATATGTGCTTTTTGCCAGATTGAGGGGAATACACCGTTAAATAATGAAAAGTTAATTATATGAGTAAAAATGGGGAGGAAGTAGTCGATGATTAGGGAAATCATGGTTCGGCCCACCCCGTCGCAGCCCACCGCCCTGGACTTAACCGATGCAAAAACTCGTCGGATCTCAAGTTCAGTCACGGGACTAAATGAGAAAGTATCAGGGAGTGATATAGGCTTGGAAGTTATTTCGGAAATGGTTTGGAGTTTAATGGCGTCTGCCAAACCGGACGATGTAGCAAAATGCAAGTTAAGGTCATTTAGTGAAACGTTCGGAGGCAAAACACTGGATGAAGTCTTACAAACACCCAAAGTTTTCAAGAACTTCCATACGTCAGCCTGTGAAGAATTCTGAACATTATCAAAAATGTATCGGCGTTTGGCAGCTCTCACCATCTGATTACACCGATTTCTCGCCATCCTGTACAATCCCCAGTTCTCCTCACTACGATCCCTCTCTATATTTATAATAATTATTATGACTAAGTTTAAAATCTAGAAGTATTGGATTTAATATGGCTTTACTTATGTTTATTGTTCAAAATACTATATTTCACGAAAGCACTTTTACACACATTCGTTTCTGTTTTACCTAAATTACGAAATCTCATTATAGACCTAGAGCTAATTATTATAAATTTACAATTTTAGGGAAGTTTTCAATACTTATTAAAATTAAACGTTCAGAAATCCGCTCAGAATAATGTTTTTAAACCAACTTCCATAATTAAGTGTTATCCCGTTTTGTGGATAAAACCTTAACACAATTTTATTTTTATTAATGACATGTAAATCAATTTTGTATTAAAGCACTTGTCCTTTAAATTACTGTTTAAATTTCAGAGCAATTATAAAATAGTTATTAATAAAAAATATCATCATCATTTTGTACCCTGTAGTCTTTTTTTTCAATCAGGAGTTATATTTATAAAGATTAATCTCATTATATATGTATACCTATGTAAAATGTCGTTTCATCATCAACAATTTTTCATACAGGACATTTAAATTGGTCGCTTGCAGAGAGTATTTTAAAGCAACTCGTATAGCACCCAGCGTAGATTTTCCACGAAAAATATTTTTAGTTCGTACAAAATGTCAATTTGACTGCGAAATGTCAAGTGAAGTTAAGAGTCAAGTATATTTTACTGATTATCATTTAAAATAATAAGGTTAAATTTGCCAGATACTAGATTAAAATTGCATCCAACAATTACATACGTAATGTCGACAAAAATTTATAACAAACTACCAGAAATAATAAATAATGAAACGAAATTTAACCTACTTAAAATTAAAGTAAAACGGTTCTTACTAAAAAAAATTGTAATTATAACATAAACGAATATTAAAATGAAAAATGATAAAATGATAACTTTACTAGTTATGAAATAAAAAATTATTAAGCCCCATGATGGTCTCAAAATTTATAATCTAACACCTAAGAAAGAAACACATTGTGGAATGTAATAAATAATTGAGTATTGAACATTTGTTCTATAGTTCATAGTATAGTTTTAAGTTTTAACACTTAGAATAAAGATGCTAAACATATCTTATGGGTTCAATAAAGTAATAAATGCATCTATCAAAAGAAAACCATCCGGCCTATACGAAAGTCTATCACCATAACTTTTCCTCGCGACATTACCCCTAAGTATGACGTCTACAATTTTTCATAAGGCACATAAAATATGGCCGTGTAATATCCAATGTAGGCGTGAGCGTCACGCGGAGAAGACGCATCATAAAAGAGAGAGGAGACTGGAGACTACTTCATAACCCAGAACAGCTCTGTGGGGTGCCGCATTCTAACTAACTTTGAGAAACGCTGATTAGTTTACCTCTAAATCTTATTACACAATGGCTGAGTTGTAGGTGTGAAACGAAGTGCGTTAAAATATCAAAATTTCGCTTTGTATTTATCCTACAGTTGGTTTCCTACATAGTTAAGCCTAAAGAGAATATGTTGTACTTACATATTTCGCCATTTTGTGAGCCCACAGAATGTATGATTTGGAGTACCTTATTCAATTTTGTAAATGAGATTGGAAAAGTAGACGTTTTTTTTACTCTTATATTCGTTTCTCCATTCCATCGAAAACGATGAATAACAGACAAAGGAATTAGCCTGTAAGTTTATTTTGATAATTCAGAATGTCTTTGACGTTGTTTACGAATTACTAAGCCAAAGATATTTTTTTATTATATATAGCATAACGTTATCTTATGCTAATGACTTATAAAAATATCTTTATTTACAAACAAACATACTTATAAGAACACAAATTATTCAGAAGAATAAGTGTGAGTGAGGTTACCGGGAGGCCCAATCCCTCTCTCTCGCCCCGTCCCTTCCCAATCTACAAATTTCCAATACCTTTATCCTTAAAAGAAGGGCACGCACTTGTAACTACTTTAGTGTTGCGGGTGTCCATGAACGGAGCTGATTGCTTACCGTAATAATTCGTCTACTAGTTTGGCGACCTACTTCAAGCTAAATAATCTTACACAAAACACAAAGTTTCAAAGGACAGAAAAAGAATAATTTACAAATGACCTTTAAAATAAACGTCTTAACTTTTATCATAACTCAAACTCATTACAAGCAACGCGATTATACATTTTATTCGTGCAAATATTCCAGCCCTCTAGCGGACCGCAGACGAATTTTTACGAATACTCGTTGAAGTTTTACTGTTATTTTCGACCTTATTGAAACAACATTAAAATGTGAATACTCGTTGAAGTTTTACTGTTATTTTCGACCTTATTGAAACAACATTAAAATGTATAGCCTCAGGCTATAAAGATTGGCTATCTTGAAATAAACAAGATTTTGGGTCGAATTTATGTATGTTATAGTGTAGTTGACCTACCATATAGAGTTATAAGCATCGCAGATGTGGTTCGTGATTGTAAAAAAACATATTATTGACGTATATGCCTAATACCAACAAAGAGAATGTTGTCTTGAAGTTGAGAGTCTTGATTTTTAAAATTTCATCCAAAAATATTATTAGATTTTCAGTTTTAGATTTTTTGCTTTAAATAAATATTTAATGCTAAAAAGCTGTGAGAGAAAGCGTAACAATTCCCAGAGGTATTGATATAAACCTAAAGCTTTAAGTCCACCTCTATTTATTAAACAATAAATAAATAATAATTAAATTCACAATATCCGTGCCTAATCGTGATAATATTAACATTCATATCCTATGAGCCGGTAATTACAAGAAGGTACATCAAAATAAACACAAATAAAGAACAGAATAAACATGCTACCGGCGGCAATACAAACATAAACCTTCGGATGATCTCCTATAAAAAGAGTAAAAAAACACAAAATATAATGAACTTTGCATTATAAGTCAGTGGGGCTTTCTGTATTCAGACGTTTTTATAAATATTCTTCAGATTCTAATCAAATAAACTAAATAATAATATAATAATAAATCTACAAATCAGTTTTTGATAAATATAAGATCACTTAGGATCTCAAGATAGACTTTGCTCACAATTTTCCAAATGACTAGGCATTAAAACAATGTTCTAATATTCTATTTGTAGAATAAAATTAATCCATCATCAATCAAATTGTACCAAATAATGTCAGTCTAATAAACCTACGTCGAATTATAGGATAACGGACGTCACGTTAATAATACCTTTAAATTAATAATCTTTATTGCTGTGTCATTAAGAGTTACGTAAGCATTTCTCAACGGAACTTCTTTAAATAATTGACAACGCGTTTCAATGTGAGCCGATAAGTAGACTCTCATCCATTTTAATTTCTCGTAAAAGTGACACGTTTTTACGACGCTGCGGGGCTTATTTGATAGCTGGTAGAATAAAGCGTAATTTGTATGGAACATACGGGTCCGTCGGTACTGCTTTCAACAAAGTTTTTTCTTTCGAATACCATCGTGTCTCAATCCAAACGAAACTTCTATCTTATCGAAAACAAACTTCTGTCCAAGTAGGAAATTTTGTAGAAAATAAAAAAAAATTTTACAAAATAAAAAAACCGCCTTCAAAAAAAGTCAAGCAATAAAAGTTCCTACACTAAAAAGTAAAAAATAACAATTTGAATTACTGTAAAAAAACTTAGTTTATAGGTAAACTTATTTGACATTAATATTTTGCAAATATTCAAAATTTATTACTTATTTTTGGAGTCGGTGCCAGCATTTTAATGTTGAAACTTAATGTTAGTTAGCTTTTTAATATCCGGTGCCATTTTTCGTACATAATGCTTAAACATTTTCAATGTACTTAAAATGTTTTTGTAAGTATATATTTTTTATTTTAAAAAAATGTGCAAATCGGACATTTTTTGTAGAGAAGTCTAATCTGTATTTATGTCTTAATTAATATACCTATATTTGAGTATGCAAATAGGTATTAAGTAGTTTTATAATTAAGTAAGAGGTAGTTTTTCAAGGGATTGTTGCCCATTTGTATTTCCTTGCATGGGCTGGCACCGACTCCAAAAATAAGTAATAAATTTTGAATATTTGCAAAATATTAATGTCAAATAAGTTTACCTATAAACTAAGTTTTTTTACAGTAATTCAAATTGTTATTTTTTACTTTTTAGTGTAGGAACTTTTATTGCTTGACTTTTTTTGAAGGCGGTTTTTTTATTTTGTAAAATTTTTTTTTATTTGTTGCCGTTTAGTGTTTTTTTTTATTATAATGTGTTATGGCAAAGAAGTCAATATCGTTCCTACATTTCTTTTGAAAAAGTTACCAATGTCATACTTATACGTAGAAATACATATCATAGTACATTGTTACTGTGTAATCGTTTTGATCTCGAGGAGAGATGATATGATGCATGAGATACTTATGATTTATAGTTAAAAAAAAATAATAATCTTATCATAAATTCATATTAGTTCTCGCCAAATAACAAAAAACTAGATATTTTCATCAACAGACAGATAAAGTTCAAAGATACCAAATGCAATCTAATTTAGTATCTATGATTAAATACATTCGTACATAGAAAAAAGACCGATGCAATTATTGTTTTGTATCAATTGTAACCCATTAAATGAAGAATACTATTTTGTTATTACTAAGAACATTCATATATAGACAAGTTGGTAAAAATACAAAAGACCATCGCTATTGTAAATATACATTTATGAGTCATTCAATGTATGAACCTTTTTTAAGTAAGTATTATCTACATATGTGCACACAAAAGAAACACAATTATTGTTTTGTACGACGCAATTATTGTTTTGTAACCCATTTAAAACGACTGTTTTGTTAAAAATGCCAATGAATTCTCTTAGCCTATTACCAGGAAAACGATAAGAACACAATGACGCATTTCACCACTAATGTGTAAACGCAGTCCACGTGGACTAATGCAAAATAGCCAATACTAGGCCAAACTCCGCCCCCAAAGGTGTGCGGTCCCGCTCTAGAACCTTTCGGCCCCATCGGCCATCTGTTCTACGAGCAATGTGCCGTGCCCACTGTCACTTAAGTTTGGCATTTCTTCGGGCTATGTCGGTGACGCTGGTTCTTCTGCGGATTTCTTCATTTCTGATTCGAACATGCACGGAAACTATGAGCATAGCCCTTTCCATTGCTCTTGACAGCTCTAATAAGCTTACACAATACTAGGCCCCATGCCAACCTTCCAGCTTCATCATCACATCAGTTCAATAGTACCTTACAGCCAAAGTGCATCTTATAACAATTCTAACAAGCCCAAACACGGCTAGGATATATTAATTAGGTACGCAGTTCCAGTGCCTACCTTCCAGCTCCATAATCATCATTAAATCAGTTCGATGATAACATTTCCAACATAATTATTTAAGATCATTGGTTTACAGTGCATTTTCATAGTTGCTGAACTACCTTGATTGTGATATCTATGCGAGTGTCAAGTTTCATCACCCATTTCTGATCTTCTTCACCAGTTCCACCCCATCAAATATTACTTTTTGACTGTAAATGCTTGAGTGCTCTATGAAAATATTAAAATTACTATATAGTTGCCTATAATATTTGAGGAGTTCCCTCGATTTCTCATGGATCCCATCATCAAAACTCAATTTTGAAAAGAATGGGACCAATCTGGAAGCATATCCTTTCAATCATAAAAAAAATTTTGCAAATCCGTCCATAAACGACGGAGTTCTGAGGTAACAAACATAAAAAAAAAAAATAAAAAAAAAAAAAAAAAAAAAAATACAATCGAATTGAGAACCTCCTCCTTTTTTTGAAGTCGGTTAAAAAAGACAAGCCCTTCTATGTCGCTCTGTAAGGTACCTATTCCAATTAAGGTACTCAGCAAATATTTTGAATGGCGTCAATCCAAACGTGGACTATGAACCGTGGCTTTCAATTAGTAAGCATTGAAAGCGGACGGCATGAAACAAAATGGGCAATCAACATGATACTAGATGTCACTTAAATCATACGAATTATTGATATGACATGCTCTAACTGACTTTATGTTTTAATTTCCCAAGGGTCGAGTGTGGTTCACTCTGAAATACGAGGCGGGGACAGAAAGGCTACAGGTGCATATTATAAAAGCGAAGCACCTACCTTCACGCACCCCCGCGCTGGCCAACGCGTGCGACCCTTACATCAAGTAAGTGATTGTCACTAATGTAATTAATGTTACGCCCTCATTTTAAACGACCGTCGACGCAAACGTATTGTGTAGATTTTTCAGGCTTTAGTTTACCTGTACTCAGAGAACAAAACACCTACGCTGTGCGACTTTGTAATGAATGGCGTTTGAATAATAAATTGATTATAGCAGAAGGTTCGACGACAAAAAAGGCAAAATCATTCAAATCACGTTTTTTATAGAAAATCTGAACCAATTATTCTACATTGAAGATTAATTTAGCACCTATTCTATTCCTGAATAATATATTTTGGTCGACTTTCGTACGGTCAACTAAAATAGCTTTGCTTGAGTTTACGAAGTTTTGGGTTGAGTCAACAGTCAAAGTACGTAGTTTCACCTCTAGTTAGTGTAGTGTTTAACTGTTCTAGAATTAACACAAATTAAACTCCCCAGGATCCAGTTGATGCCAGATGAGAGGCGAGTACTCCAGACGAAACAAAAGAAGAAGACTTGCAATCCTTTCTTTGACGAGACGTTCGTTTATCAAGTAAGTACTTAACATTTATTTGTAGTTCTGGTTCAGACAATTGTACGTTCACATCAATGTTGACAAATTTGTTTAAATGCTCCTTCACGAAGTGCAGTGTAATGTGGTATAAGTGACGGGACCATACAACGTAGAGGCTTCTACTAAATAATTAGCTGAAAGTACAAAAATTAGTTTTCAATATTATGATCTAGATAGAATAAATCATTAACGTAAAATAATTAATAGGTATATAGAAAGAACACATCATAAAAGTGGAATAATTTAATCTATAAAAACTTGACTTATGTTGCAAATAAAGCTTGTCTTTTTCAAGTTTCGTAGAATGACATACCCATAATGTTTGTACATCCTTTAAAATAATTTTACATAAAGATTATATTAAAAAAAAATAAAATAACGAATTCGAAATTCAAATATTAATTTTATCCATTGTTAAACCTAAAACAAATCACTAACGTTTGTTTTTCAATTACTTTATTTACTTTCGTTCTAAAACTGTTCAGACTTCTGCATAATAAAACCCCTTGATTTAGTCAATATGTTTATTTAGGTCTTATTGATTTTGCCTACTAATTCCATGCCAAAGTACATACGTCATTGAGTTGAAAATCAATTGCTGCATACAATCCGTTATTTGTGAAAAGATTGATTCATATAGTCAACTTCGGACGTAGAGGGTGGATTTTCGGGTACGAAATATGTCGAATATCGCATCACTTTGACGAGGATTTAATTACGTTAATGGAAATTTTAGCTATCGGTAGCTGGGAACGGCAATTTATGTACAGGAAGCTTTTAACAAGGGGTTATAGGTTAGATATGATGTAAGAACACAATTACCTATCTTTGTCGCAAGGGTAGCCTTTGGAAATATCCCTCTAGATAGAGCACTCATATTGGATATTAAAACTTATACCTTTAAATTCACCGTTACCATATTAAAGAAGAGCACACTTCACTTTTAGCAGTGGTATACTCTGACAAAATGTTGGGTTTGATTCAAGCCGCATCTTTTCGCCATCGACCCTCGTGATAACGCTACTACACCCAGCATATAGAAGACAGCAAATTGGTTGAGAGTGTCAGTCTCTTATTGACTAAAACCTACCCATTCCTTCACCTGGTCGCCTTACATGGTACCTTACAGCGCTTGACCCACAAGCTTGTTGTTTTAATAATAAACAATAGTATTTCACACTTCGTTGCAAGTCAACGAACCAGGCGGAACAAATTTGAACTACATAATTTACAGCTAAGCATTCTCATCTGGAACGTTCGAGAAGCATCCATGTAAACTTGTAAACTCAAATCTCATACTATACGTAAGAACTTCGAAACTTTGTACATACCTACCACATATACCTAGGTAAACTTTATATATAGGCATCCCCAACTTTACTCATTAGCTGTTAATTGCCGAAATCCTCGAACTGTCTTTATTGGAACGACGCGTTTCTTTTGTTTTGTTTATTTTGGATATGTCTTGCTTATATCTGTGAAACACAAAAAGATTAGGAAAATTACTTCATCGTTAGGAAAATGTTTATTTACCGAAGACTGAAGGGCACTTACCTACTTCATCATCATTATCAGGCATTTTCCATCTGGTGATGGATATAGACCTTTTCAGGAGCAAGTAACTTAACTCGATCTGTATGTAAAGGCAGTACACTAATTAGGGATCATGACAGGGTATAGGAAACAGGGTATGGTAAATTTGGTGTGATAGGCCGTCACACGAGCTGAAGGATTACCTGATGGCAAGCAATTGACAGATGACTTAAGAGTGCTTTTATTTACCTTTTAGGGATTAGAGATTCAGAGATTTAGAGATAGGAGTAGGGGAAGAAGGACACAACGCTGTGCTGGTTTTACACTGGTTTCCTGTATGTATGGCTGTGGTATCACCCCGGTCGAGCCAATCCAATCGTGCTTATTTTTATCTTTTTATCTTATTAGGCATTTTTTTCCAAGTTTCTTTTCCAATTTTTTATTTTATTGCTTGAGGAGAAACACCAGTTTCAGTGTAGCTTTAGTGTATAAAAGTTTTAAATTAAGCTTAAGCTGCATCGCTCGATATTTCAAATCAATAATTAAGTAGCAGACTTTTTTTTTCTCCGTAAGAAAATAATAAATACGTACCTGAATTCATAAATTAATATTCTAATTTAAAAAAAAACATTGTGTTTATTGTATACGTTTGCTGAAAAATAGACCCAAAAAGAATCCGGAGAATATGCGAAAAAGTTTTGCTAAATAAAGAAAAAAAATACACATTGATTTTTTTTAAAAATTAATGTTCACTTGTTAAGCAGAAATTAATGTGTCAATTATAATGACTACATTTTGAAATAATGATGTACAAATTTACATTTTGTTAATTATATCACTGAAGTGTTTGTCAAACAAGAATTGTATTGAATTACGCTGTTTAATTAATTGGGGTGTGAAACAAACACAATAATTGTTCAACATCCAAAGCTCTTACAAACATTATTTCCATACTAATAATATCATTAAATTATTACATTAAGTGTTAATGCTATTTATTTATTATGACAAAAACTAGTAACGTAATAAAAGCAGACAAATCAACAGGTTAATTTCAGACTCAAAATGACCTAGTACAAGTTATTATCATATATATAAATACTTATGTTACCCTAGTTGCTTTAATCACACAAAAGATCAAAAAAGTCAGTTAAACCTACTTTATAATTAAACAAATATAAACCCTACAACATACAAAACATAACTTAAAATCCATTATCTTCAACAGATTCCACCGGGCAAGATAGAGAGTCTTACATTGAAATTATCAGTCTTGGACGTTGGAAGGGTTGGCAAGGGAAAGCAGCTGATTGGCCACATTATTCTACCATTGACAGAACTGGACGGTGTAGCGCCTGATGAAGAACCACAGCTTTATAAGCTTGATATTGAGAAGGTAAGAAAAAGGAATTATGGTAGCAGATAAAGAGGAATGTTTCCATGCAAATAATAAAGAACTAGCATACAATAATAAGAGTTAAGTTAGAAGATTACAGATCAAAAGAGATGATAAACGTGAATTTGACTGCATGATTGGCGCCGGTGAATCATGTGATTTAAAAACTTATAATGGGTTTGGCTGTAATTTATTTGTAATTTTGTAATAAATTCACAACAAAAGAAAATATAAAATTGTAGGGCAACGTTAAAATGCCAAAAGAAGTTTAAATATACCATTAGAATGTCCTCCATTTTGGAAAGTCTTTAAAAATTATAACACATACAAAAACTATTCAATGTTTTTATTGAATAATAAAAACAGATACCAGTTACATACATTAACGATGTCAAACCTGGTCAAAAATTCAATATTGATCTTTGCCAAAGAAAAAATAACACTCCTATTACTGGATTAGGTCCAAAATCACGTACGTCGGATAAGCGGTAGGCTGTTGAAAGAAACCATCAAATAATTACACGAAGACTGAGTACCTATTAGGCTTGTTTATAAAAGTAAAACCTTTTTACTTCTGTTGGTGGCTTTAGCTTATTTCACACAATGAAACTGAAACATGATCTAAAGACGTGTCACGCGTGACAAAAAAAAAACAATATAACATCTACATTTGTATGAGACCACAGGCTCCTTGTCATTTGGAAACTAAGCAGGAGCACTGCTTTCATGACTCCTCTTTGGACAGTTAATAAAGGCTAGCCAGAAATGGGAGACCTATTCCTTGATATCGTTCACTCTAACTAGGGAATAATAGCAAGCCAGAAGTAAGTAAATGTAACTTCTCCCTCGAGCACTCGGGATGATGGTAGCCCCCGGGATCGCTAATAACCATCACTTCGCCTCAAGGATATAGGTATTAGGATGTTGCCTTCAAAAGAATTCATAATTTAATTAACTACGGAATGTTTTTCTGTAAAACTTTCATGCATAAATATGATAATGGCAAAATAGATATGCTAACAATAAAATCCCTTATTGTTCCCTATATATTCTATTCAAATGCATTAGAAGTTAATTGAATGATATAAGATATGTATCTTCCTGTTTTACTCAAATAATTTAAGTCAAATGTATAAATTTCATCTCAATATAGAACTACATAAGTGAATCACTTATCACTAGAATTTTCCTTTTTATCGTGGTTGTGTTTGCAGATATACTTTAACACACACACATGATGCCCAGACCCTGAACAAAAATTTGCTTATCACACAAAGAGTTGTTTCAGCGGTAATCAAATAAGCGACACGTTGCTTGGCAACCTGTTGCCCAGCCACCTCACCAACCTTATTAAAATTCGTTTCTGATTCAGAGTATGGTATTTTAGAGATATTTAACAAACAATAATACTCGAGTAACAATACGGCTTAAAATATCTATTCGTCTGACATCTCGTTTTTAAAGCAGAAAATAAAACAAACCATTATATATTTTTTAAAATAGCAAACGGTACGGGTAAACAAACTTTGTTTTATTTAAAATTCTTTTGTTACTTGCAAAATTGGGACCTCGAAAGGAAGTGTAGGTACTAAAAAATTCTTTGCTACCAAAACAGGGATGTGTAAGCCTGGAAAGGTATGCCGCAAGGGACTTACTTTCTAAATAGAATAAGAGCGAACGACTAGATGTTGTAGAAATGTTAACCTAAATAGTAGAGCTATTTTTAAAGCAAAATTTGCTTTTAAATATTTCGGGTTCAATGTGGTTACATGTACATTAAATTTCGACAAAGTTTCTCCGTTAGAAGTCAAATATGTTTCAGTTTCACTTAGTAATATTCAATTTTATGTTAGAACTTTTAATGAAAATTGTTACCTGTAGATATGTATTTAGAAACTTTTGAAGCGTTACGTTTTTATTTATACCCACAATAATTTAACCTTTTCGTCGAATTTACAATGAAACATTCTATTTATTATATTACGTTAAGATATTCTGGAACATAAAACTTTAGAAAGGTATATCAGATATGTATTATTAAAAAAGTTCTTTTATTTCAATATTTTACTCTAACCATGTTGATTATGTAGCTTCCCTTGGCATTCAAAATACATAATTAAATTTGTTATCTTGTCTGCAGGATCTCCAAGAACCGACATCAGATCTAGGCGAGATTCTCGTCTCGTTATTGTACAATGAAAACCTACACAGGCTTACGGTCACAGTGATAGAAGCTCGAGGACTCAAGGTAAGATGGTGGTTGAATAAAATACGAACAAAACACTATCGGTCTGATTTGTTTTTATGTCAAATAGTGTACTTATTTCTGTAAAATTTGCTTATAGAAATCTAAAATCAAGTATGTTGTTATATCAATGAATAAAAGTGTGTTATATTCTATACAATAATGCTGAAAAATTCAAATAATTTTGGTTTTTTACCCGGACAAATACCCATTTCTTTATTTTGACGTTATGAAATGGATATATGTTGAAATAAACCAGGCCACTCATCAAGCCGGAGTTGCAGGAAAAATGCAATAATGCACCTAGAGAACTTAATTGTTTTTAGTCATTAGGAGACTGACACTTCCTCTCATTGGGCAACAGAAGGAATTAAAGTGACCGCTTCAAAAAAAACATTTCATAACACTAGAAATATTACACAAAATACGAGCATATCTAGAACTACACATCAAAGTAATATGCAATTTTCAATGCAGGTAGTTATTTGGTTGTACTCAAATAAGATAGCACGGTTCCTCGAAAGGAAATAACAATTTGAATTTGAATTGAATCGAAGTCCGGTTTCCGTACGGTTGAATCGAATTTCACTTTAACATTATAAATTTTGCTTTGTAGTGAAGCACTACTTCGGTAGTGATAAAAGACCATGCGTATATTAAGAATGGATGTTCGAGTCCCATTCCGATGCAGAATAGGTAATAATTAAATGATCGACAACTTATTTTCGGTTTTATTATATTTAATTCTGTTTTATCCATAAAAAAAGATTCATCTTCGAAAATATTTTAAGTTCATTAAAATGATTGTAATTATTTTTGGACTTTTTTTTAAATGTTAATATGAGTACAATGTACCGTAAAAATATTCTTAGCTTCGATTATAATTACTATCTACATAATATATATGGCAGGATATTAATTAGATTATACACCTACATTCGTTATAAAATCGCATTGTCCATTTATTACAGTAATATAAATAAATGGTTGCGTAGGCGTCTATTTGTGTCTATTAATGTTAGCTGCATATATTAATAACGTTATTTACGTTACAACCATACGAAAATTAAATATTATTTTCATTCATTTTTGTGTGCGAAAAATCGCTAAATGACTTCTTCCGCCCAGGGTGAGAGGAAGTGTCAGACTCTTACTGACTAAAAACTCCGTTCGTTCTCCTGCTCTAGACCGAGGCTGCGGTACTTTATTGCACTTGCCTCGCAATCTCAGATATTTCCCTTTTTTAATTATATTTATTATTTTCTTAGTTGGATCCATCATCAAGCAAAAAAGAAATGGTAGTACGAGTGACGCAAGAACGAGCGTGCCGTGGAGTGCGCGCGCGTCGCACTGCAGCTGTTGAGGTGGTTGACGATGGCAGCGCCTTCGTCTCCGAGTGCTTCCACTTCAGATTGAGAGCTGATGAGCTTCACACTACCAGCGTCACGATACAGGCCTTGCAGCCGCACTCCGTTTATGCCAAAGGTAAATAACTTATGTGTGTGCTCATTAGGAGAAAAAAATAATATTTTTATTTATTTATTATAAGCTGTGGTCATCTTACTGCAGGGCGTATGCTTTTGTACCTTTCTTCCATTCCTCTCTGAGGAAAACTTTGCGGGAAACTTTCCGCTAATCCTTTTCGAATGTGTACTTTTTGCCACGCTAACTCCTAATGTATTTTTTGTTTTTATACTCTTTTTTACTACTAAAGAAAATTGTACTTTATTTTAACTAACTAAAAAAGGTCTTTCGCATTCTAAGTTGTAAGTTATACTAACATGGAATCAAAATTATTTTCAGCTTTTGAAAATAAAAATAATTGAAATTGTAGCAGCCCTAGAGACATACAATATTTACTCGTTTGTTGCAGACCGACTGCTCGGGAAGTTCGTGTTAGGATCCTACATGTTCGCTAGGGGGCGCGCCTTACAACACTGGAACTCAGCACTCGCCGCGCCCATGGAACAAGTCAAACAATGGCACCCGCTCACCAATTAATGACAACCCTGGCAAACAACGCACAATCGACGACCATTGACCCCACCTAGCTGTGAGTGTATTCTCAACTCGGACGTATTATATTCCCAAGGAACACATTTATATTTATCAAATTGTTCCTTCCAACTGATTTATTCGTAAATAATAATAAATTCCTTTTTATTTCAACAATGTACGAACGTACTTGTGTATAGCAATCTAATTAGGTTAGATATTATTATAAAGTCATATAAGAAAATTGTGAAAATATTCTATTTAAATTGAATATCATGGCAAGTAATTTTGAAATATCTATTATAATGAATTAAGGCATATTTTTGTAACTCCAATTTACACTAAATTCCAAATAATTATGAAATATTCCTGTTTCTTCTCACGCCAAGTTGTATTATGTAAATACTTTAATTTGCAGACAAATGTAATTTCAAACTATCCTTTTTCACCTTTTCACCAGAAAAAAGCTAATTGTATTTGTAAATTTTCCAAAATTCATATCTCAATTACTTACTCTCTAACTAGATCTTACTGAAAACAATTTATTGCTCATAGTAATAATTTTATGAAATAAATGTATTGCATATTCAGAATATTTCAAAATAAGCTACACCTTATATTATCAATAAAATATTTATAAATGTTTAATAAAATATAAAATATTGCCAATATACACGTATGTAGTAGAATATAATTTCAACAATGTGCAAAATCAATGAAATAAAATAATGTAACGCCAAATTGGCGAAAAAAATATTGTATTTCATTTTTCAAATCCATTTTGCCTTTGTTTTGTAACAATCACCGTGTAGAAGATGTTTATCACCTCTTGGTGGAGTGTGTCAGGAATGGGCCTGAAAGAAATGCGTTAGTTAGTGAACTAAACATAAATAAGTTAGATGTAGGTATATTTAATATGATCTTAGCGAAACCAATGTCGCCAGAGGCTGCATTGGTATATTCATTGGTTAATTTGTAAGTTTGTTTGTAATTAGATTAGTTTATGATGGAACTAGCGTAACATATTGTTAAAAGTTCCTAAAACAAATAAAGAGAAAAAAAAAGAAAAAAAAATCACCGTGTAAACAAATACTCCGTTTAAAACGAGTGAGCTCGAAGAATGATTGATTGTTGTATGAAAAAATTTCATGGGAAGAAATACACAGACGTACAGCACCAGTAGTAATAGGACATAAGGATATTTCACGCCACTTAGTCATAAGGAAAAGCTAGGCTTCGACACGAAGAAACTGGTTCGGTCAGAGCTATACCACGGCCTCATAGAAAACCGACCTAGAGTGCATCAGTAGATCATCAATCGGCAACAACAACAACTCTTTGCCTGTGAAACGCTTAAGTTAAGTTACGCCGATTAAGTTACCAGGCAGCTACATATTTTCTCCATCTTCAATCCTCAAATCTAATCTTCAAATCCGCATTGCACTTGTGTTGCGAATATCCATAAGTGTGCAGATTGCTTACCATCTACCATCAGGTGATCTGTCTCTTCGTTTACCATTCTACATTCTACACCATAAAACAAGGAGTGGTAACAATAACTGTCGACACACTTTATAATATTACACTCAATTGACTAGAGACGTACAGGCTTTACAAATGAAACATCTACATTCAGTTTAACACTTTCAGTGAATTATATGAATCTTCAGTTTTAACGATAATTATCGACGAAACTACCTAATTATTGAAATATGAAAAAAATATAGACAGTAATTATGCAGAGTAGAATACAATATCAGTTTAATCTTCCGATGAAGAATGGAATACAGTAATGTTTTATGTTTGTATGTAAAATGTTACAAGTATGATCATACAATTCTTTTAGCACTTACCATAAAAAGGTGAACTATAAGTTTTTACTATAGTATAAAATTCCTGGTAGTACTATGGCTCCAATAAACTGTAGCAATTTTTAAGTCGCAAAGGTGACGGTAAAAATACAAAGCTTTGCGATCGTAAAAGCGAAAATATGTACAGAACAACACATTCACGTTTTTAAAAATATTTTAGTGCTTAGTCGTGTTGGTCGAGTAGCTTAATAAATTTATAAACATTATTAAATTATGAGTCAAATAACTTTTGGAGTTTTTTATGAAAACCTTTTAGTTTGATAAAAATTTCAACGTCGTCTAATAAACATTGGGTGTAATAAACATGTTTTTTTACAATGAAATCGAATACCTACTGCACTGTAAAAAAAGAATAGGTATTCAATCATTCAAAACCGAAACCTGGAAATGTTTTTGCGAACATTTTTCGAGAGAAAATATCGGATATTTGTAGGGAAAATCGCTAGTGCTTCAGTTTTTTTAATCAAATGTGAATCAAATTTGCTTTCAAAATCGTCGTATCTTTCGCGAGGAGTGTAATTTTGAATTTCGGTCGTTAATTTTACCGTGGACACACTCAGTTTCGAAAATAACAAGTTCAACAGATGGCATATTCGAATAGGATAAGTTTGAAAAAAATCAACTTCGATAACACAAAGCTTTGATAAATACACGATACAACTGGCGTCAATGTATTGAATGGCGCAAGTTTCATGTAAGTAGCCAGCAGTTGCGGAACAGACTCCAGCATTCTTACCCTATGCGGAAGGAGTAAATAAGAGTAGACAGAATATACAAAACAAGATAATTGCGTCAGGATGATCTTCCGTCCACCCGATCAGCTGAGATAATTGCTGCGTTCATCTAAGGAAAAGGATCCTGTGACTGTGCTCGGAATCTACATAACACCATGCGACTGTGGCTCGAGTTATATTGGGGAAACTCGTCGCAATATCACGACCAGACTGAAGTAAAGTATGCGTAGTGTGAAGGAATATGATACCATTGGCAGTGCATGTTTTCCAAAAAGGCATTGAAAAAAAACTGTTGGATATCCAGGAAATGCATACTAAATAATACATTTTTAATATATTTCGGTACTAACCGAACACACAAATTAGTTTTGGACATGATAACAATAAAACCCGAAATATCCAATAAAATAATCTTAATTACTAGTCGCTTGTCCCTTGTTGGAGGGGATTTGCAATCAACCGTCGAATTGTCTTTCTTGTCTTATCTGTAACGGCAGCTACGGCTTGAAATTGAAACATCCATTCTTGTAACTGAGTTAATCTGTTCGCTTTCAAAATCGGAATAAACATTTTCCGAGTACGATCGTCTCTTCTTCAATAACCTACAATACTAACCAAAGATTATTTATTGTTCTGATCTTAGGTATATTGTAAAGGATACGTTTCAAAAGTGGAAATATAAATGAGTCGGTATTGCGTATATTTTTTCAGATCATCTATATTAATATTATAAAGAGGTAAAATTTTTAAGTTTGTATGTAGGGGGTAATCTTTGGAACCGCTGGGCGGATTGCCAAAATTCTTTCACTGATGGATAGCTACAATGTTCCTGAGAGCTATAGGCTATAAAACATCACGCTACGATAAAATGGAGACAAGCAGCGGGTGAAACCGCGCGAGAGTAGCTAGTTTGAAATAACTATGTTATAAAACTGACTATATTTAGAATCAACGAACCAATAGACCACAACAGAATGGACGAAACAGTTCTGATGATGATGCGGCTTCGGCCTGGAACAGGAGAAGCAACGGGATGGTTTTTAGTCAGAAATAGTCTGACACTCCTGCTAGCTTCATCCTGGGCGAAAGAAGTCATTTGATGATTATCCCCATAAAAAAGGAAATTTGCTTAGCTATACCTATAAAAAAATGGAGATAATTTTGCGTGACAATTTAATAAGAAATGGTCGTCGCTCCCATTACATTTTTTCCGTAGTAAGTAACAATCGTAAGACGGAGAGTTATGAAAATATTATTTAGAGACTAGTTACTACTTGCCTCAAAACTTCGTCAGCGTAAAAAGTAAGCTAAGGCAGATTTTTTTTTATTTCGATTTCCAACAAGATTAGTTGCGCCCGACCTGTTAATTTCGAAAATTACGGTACGAAAATAGAGAAACACGACCGTTTTTATACGTATTTTATCTATGTATATTACTGACAGACTAATAATCTATTTTGACGTTTCAAAGTACCTATTTATGGTTTAGTTGGAATTTTGACTTTGACTTTCATTGTCGTCCTCGTGCGATTAGGCGACAAGATTGTTTTATTATAAAAAATAATATGAGACACGTTTTTCTTACTTCATACTATACTAGCTACTCTTGCGCGGTTTACCCGCTGCTCGGCTCCATTTAATGGTAGCGTGACGTTTTATAGCACTCAAGAACATTGTAGTAATCTATCAATGAAAGAATTTTGGAAATCCGACCAGTGGTTCCAAAGATTACCCCGACATACAAACTGACAAATTTTACCTCTTTATAATATTAGTATAGATTTACTTCTTCATTTTATGAATAGCATAGTTATTTTACTTTAGATACTACATCATGTCAACCTAGTTACGATGAAACTTAGTTATGAACAGCCGTTAAAGCTTTATTTTCTAACTAACAACGCAATATTTTCCATTTTCTCACGAAACCCTTTTGTTTTACGGCAGGTAATATTTTTGAATGTTTTACGATCTGACATAAAATGATGGCAGCCAGTTTTATGAAAAAGTAAATACATTTATATAAAAATGCGTTCTTGATTCCTCAAATTGGCTACTTTAAGAATATTATTTTATAAATATGGACGCAACCTGCGTCAAAAACCTGCGTTTGCCGTCTTATTTCTAAATTAATAACACATAGGTACATAAAACATTTCAACAAATTTTTGATTCATTATGATGACTAAATGAATATAATATAACAATATTCTTAACTTCACAAATTTTGATAAAGTAAATATTTGTAAGTACCGAAAGTCTAAGTTTTTGTCTTTTCCCTAGGGTGTCATAAGAGCCGACTAAAGGTCTACAAGGTTTGGCTATTTTGCCAAGCTGGTACCTTTTAACTAGACATCCGAGCAAGCGTGGTGATTAATGCTCAAACTTTGTCCTGTGAGAA